CTGTTTTATGTTTTGACTGTCTTTTATTTCTTCTGTTAGACTGTTCCATAATTTAACTCCTGCAATTGAGATTGGATATTCATATGTGAGAAAAATCATTATAACATGCACTTGTATTTTGAATTCAAAACTCAGGAGTCAAGTACATCCACAGCACATGCATATTTTATTAGAAGAAATTTTCAGACACTCTTTCATCGTGAGCTCAAACAATCATTGTGGATCAGTGTGGATACATCTGTTCCACTGTACATAGGTTGTTTTTTCATGTTTCAGATCTCATCAGGGGCGTTTAATTAATAGGTGTTTATTGAAGAAAACTGTATGTTCTCACATTCAGATCATCCACAGCCATGGACCTGGTTCAGCTGCCAGATTCATAGGCTCTACTACAAATACAGAGAGTAGCTGCTAGGGAGGGAGGCAGTCCAGATGGCTGCATCAATTCCAACATTGCAAATCGGTGTGACTGTAAAGATTTAAGCTGCTGTTTTGGGGGATGGGTGCTAATCAAGATGACTTCTGATCACAGCATACGCAAAACTGCCTGTAAAAGCTGCTAGATGGAGGGAAAGTTTGTCGAAGTTGCTGCACAAATTAATTAAAGACTATACTAAATATTTTACTCAGTATTCAGCTATATATGCTATTATTATTAGGTTGAACTGACAGGTAAATAACATTGCTAATCAAGTGAAAATGCTTTTCTCGTCTTTCTCTCTATTAGCTAACTCTAAATGGAATATCTAATTTTAGACTGTATGTAAGATGTGACCTTTGCTTCTCATAAATGATGGTGGTTTGATTATCAGTTTTTCTAAAACTATTCTGTATTCTATAACTGTAGCCATTTAATGAGTGTCATTCACCTTGTTGTGACAATTCAAGGTTAGTTTTACCCATCAATCTCATATCCAAGTCCCTGAGTTAGTTAAATAGTCTCATTTAAACAGAAATGTTGTGGTTTAGAGCTGTTCACATTTCTGCACAAGTTATAGCAAGATGCAAGTCTGAATCTTATAAATTTATAAATTTATCATATATATTTATATACATATAAATGTATAGATAGGAGCACAGGGTCAAATATGCACAAGAGATATGAATAGAAAATGTCCTTTGGTATACTCAAAGTACAAAGCATGTGAAAGACCAGAAAACTTTTTCATCTTCATTTAAATTTAATTTAATTCAAATTTATTTGTTTAGTGTCAAACAACAGTCACCTGAAGACACTTATGTTGTAAGGTGAAGATCTTAAAATATTAGAAAGACAGACCAGCAATCACTCGACACCCTATAAGCACTTGGCGACAATGGGAAGGAAAGACTCCCTGCAATAGGAAGAAACTTCCAGCCACGCTCAACAAATTGCTCTGCCGCAAGAGAAAGAGAAAAAGGCACTCTATAGGGGAGAGATTCAGAGGTTAGTAATTGCCAATGAATAAATACAGCAATGGGTTATGAAAACAGAGAATGAAAAGATATGAGTGAAGAAGTAGCAGTATATCATGGGAAACCCCAACAGCCTGATCCTAATGCTGCATAACTAAGGGGGGATTCTGGGTGAGCTGATCCAGCCCTAGCTATAAGCTTTATCAAAATGTAAAGTTTTGATTCTAATCTGAAAATTAAAGAGTGTCTGTCTCTCGAATCCAAAATAGGAGCTGATTTAGAAATAGGAAAGATTAAAGATTATCCAGGCATTTTTTTCTTCAGGACATGCCCATAGTTTAACTAGCTGATTCGTATCATCTGGGTTCATGGATTTAAAAAAGCTGGGCGTCATCTACATAGGAAAAAATGTATGCGGTGTTTTCTGTTAACGTTGTCTAAGGAAACATGTAATGTAAAAAATGATTGGTCCCAACATGGAACTCTTTAATTGTGTGTGAGGAAGACTCCCCATTTATATGCACAAATTGCTATCTTTCAGACTCCAATTTGTGCATTGCAGTCCTTCATTATTAACAGTATTTTTAGTGTTAACAGTGTTACAATTTTATCTGTGATGCAACCTGGGGCTGTTCATGTTTTCCTTGATCAATCCTTTATAGAGGACTTATTGTCTATATTTTCCAGACCAAACAAAAATCTTGTACACACAGTGAGTGCAATGGCCTTTCCTCTCTAATTTATGTGTCGTCTGCTTTAAGGTCCAGATTTGACAGTCATGAATCTGTGATTTCTCGTATGTTACACTATTATCAAAATAATCAGGTTCTGTAGGAGTAAAGTTTTGGTAGCTGTTCTGCATTGTGTTGGCACACAACGCTGAAGAAAATAACAATGGAATCACTTCGTTAACCTTAGTTCTAGCACTTTCAGAAAGACATTTTCTGTAATGAAATGTATTCTTTATTGCAGTGTAATCCATTATTGTAATTTTATTGTTATTAAGAAATGCTCAAACAAAAGAGGGTTTTTCAGGAATTACTGGTGAATGAAGTTCTATGCCACAGTTCAGGGCAAGATTCAAAGTGTGATTAAAGAGTTGACAGGCCTATTTACATTTTGAGAGAAGCCACTTCAGTCTAATACAAAATTAAATGATGTGTTGAGGCTGTTATTTACAACATCTACATTAATTACCTACAATAATTATTTTTATCTGAACTGAGCACTAAATCAGTATAAAAAAAATCTGCGAAATTAAATAGAATTTTTGAGTAAAGGCCGGCTGGATGATAACAAAAATAATATTTTTTAAGTTTTTCAATTACAGTGTACAAGGCTAAGAGTTAAGCTTCTGATTTAATAAAAAAAAATGTCCAGTTCTCTGGTTAATAAATATACTGGAGTGAAAAATTGCTGCCACTTCTTCTCTTTGGCCTGTGGTTCAAGGATTCTTACAATTAGTATGACTTGATTAATTTAACAAGCATATTCACCCCATTGTAACCAGGTAATTAAATAAGTAAGTACAATTTATTAATGTAGTGCTTTTAACACACATAAAATTTACAAAGCACAGAACAAGAATTAAAAAGCTACAACACTGTGTTTTAAGAAGAACAGTAAGTGATACAATACAGCAGCGAGGGCCTACACCAAGTGAAAGCACCACCCAGCATATCTATAACAACTGCCATCTGTAGTGCCAACACAGTGTATTTGCACATTTGTCAAACATGAGATTCTTTCTGTCCCTGTTCTTTCATGTTTGAGTACACTTACGCAAAAGATACCAGTAATTTGGCAAAGTATTCTTTTTTTTTCTGAACTGAAATAAAGTGCATTCACATCCTCTAGCAGGGTTTTGTATCTGCCCTTAAAATGTTCACCACCACCATCTATTATCAGCTTTTCCTTTTCTTCCTTTGCCCTTCTCCGTGCAGCCAATCATGATTAGAGAACACACTCTGGGGTGTAATAAAGGTCTGTTGCAAGCAATAGTGACCGAACGCCCCTTCATCTGTGAGCTGCTCAAACCTTCCAGCCTTGGTAGATAGTTGAAGAGAAAGCTGCTTTCAGTGATTGGAGCTCCACTTGACTGTTTTTTTAATTTTAACTTTGCCCTACTTCTGGCTGAAGAGCTCATTAAATAAGATCTTGTGCTATAGCTAGAAATAGGAAAAAACAGGAGGGGGGAGAAACAATAATCATGTATTTAGCCATGTGAGTCTTATCGCCTTTGGGAGTTCTGTCATGAGGCCGTAGAGAGTGTATATTATTTCCCTTTTTAAAACACATCTAAAAACCTTTCTTTACCCACAATCATTCTGTGTCTTTGAAGCAAACATGCTCTGGGTCTTAAGGACAAAAATTCAAAGGAGCCAAGTTGGCTTTGGACTGAAAATAGTGAAGATTTTGCAGCAGAGCAACTGAATTCTTCAAACGCTCGTCCCAACTGACTGCAGTCGGTCATGTGATGGAAATCGGCAGTGAGCTGCAGGTTCACTTTTGCTAGGAGACTTTGAGGCCCAGATGTCTTACAAAACCAAAAAGGTTTTCAATAAATATATCAAAGATTAACAGAACATGTTGCAATCACAGTGTGTCTCGCTCTGATATTGACCACGCCACGTACACCTGGGTGCATTTCATCATATCTCTGCTAACAGAAGTTCTCTGACATTTCTCTCCCACAGAGAAAACAACAACAACGGAAAAAAAAAACAGGAACAGAGAGTCTCCTTGTATGTTTACTTTGGACATGTTACTAGGAGGGGAAGTATTTTCTGCCCCAAAGATTTAAATCAGAACACCACTGTCTAGCCACAAATATCCATCACACGATGGTGAACTACTCTTTTATCAACTAGTATAGACACTATTGTGTTGTATGTACAATTATACCCTGGTGAACATAAATTTGTGCCTAAATGTGACCATTCATGAATTAACTTTTCAGCATGGGAATATAAATGATCTCAGTCTCTCACTCAGAGCAAGTCCTCATCACACTTAAGTTCCCCTTTGCCAGTTTTTTAGATTTAGCAACAACTTTTATATCCCTTAAATTACTAAAAAGGAATGCATAAGATCAAATCTAGTTACTTTTTGGTTAAATGGCTGCCAGCACTGCCCCTTTGGTGTGAGGACTTGCTGTCACCCTGCGGGTGTCTCTCTCTCTCTGTCTTCCCTGCTCAGTGAGAAGCATCTGTGGATGAGCTGGATGTACACGTGCTGTGTGTTTGTGGGCTTTTCCCTTGCAGAGGCTATTCACTGTGTGAGGAAAAAAAAATGAAAAAGGTGTATTGTCACTCCTAATTTTCTCTGTGACTAATCATTTTACATGTGAGCATAGCTGAAATCACAGCACAGCCTTTAACTTGTATGTGGTGATTTTGTCAGACATTCCTCAGACTTGTTCACTTCCTCGCTATCTGGCTTTCCCTCGTTAATCTGCATGCTCCAACCAGTTTTTAATTTATTCTTTTGAGAAAAAAAACTAAGTGGAAAATAACAACATATCTGTAAATACTTTAGACTTTACCATGTTTGCCTGTACTGCCAGCACACTGATAGCTTTACATCTATTTGTGTTTCCACTGCAGTTGGGAGGATGTGGCATCCTGGGCGTCGGGGTCTGGCTCTCAGTGACCCAAGGGAACTTCGCCACCCTGTCATCATCCCTTCCCTCCCTGTCTGCAGCCAACCTGCTCATCGCAGTGGGGACGATCATCATGGTGATTGGCTGCCTCGGCTGTGTGGGAGCTGTCAAGGAGAGCCGTCCTCTGCTGCTGACAGTAAGCAGAATGGTTTTGGATTCACCTGCTGACTTTAAACACAAAGTTGCGATGATGTCATATTTTCAGATTACAGCTTTTACAGAGCACCATAGCTCACGTTGTTTTGAATTGTCTAGTGTGTGTGTGTGTGTGTGTGTGTGTGTGCGCGCGCGCCCGTGCATAACATAAGTACAGTTTTAAGTGCTTCTGTTTGATCCGATTGCAAGAGGGCCTTTAGGGTTATTATTGTCATGACAACTATAATAAGGGATTTTCATAAAGCAACAGGTCTAAAAAATCATGCTGCATTTTTAGACAGCATGATTTTCAGTTTTGGGACACTTTGATATGATGTTGTGGTTATTTGACAGGTAACCATTTCATAAAAATGCTTTTAGTGCTGTGAACCACTGTTGCCTAGTTTTGCTTTGGTGAGCAAACTATATTGGTCACACTCATTTTATATCTGAGGTAGGCAAAGAGCACGTGGAGCACAACAATCAGAGTATGCTTTGGGGTTTAAAGTCTTGTTTTTAAGGGGAATATCTCTGCAAATATCTAACAACAACTGTTAACAATAGTGATGACAGTGATGCTGTTTTAATGCTAACATTAGCTTGACAGACGGGAAGGCTTCATAGCTACAATAGACTGATTTACACAATAAAGGGTTTTTCTGGGTCTTTAGACCACAAAAGCTTATGAAGTTCAATAAAGAAGATCTGCATTCACCACCTCCTGTCCAGGCTGTTAGTGTATTCTTTACTTCACTTCCGTTTTTCCAGCCTGCCAAACTTAATTTTGTCGTCATCGCTCTAGCCCAATCATTTTCTTGCCTGCCTTCTGCAAGCTAAACAGCTTCTGTTACATGTGCTTTAAATCTCAAATCTCTTCCGTTTTTCTGCATTTCAGACTCTGACTTCATGCAGTTGTGTCTTTGTCATTTTGTTTGTTCTTAGTTGTGTCCTGATTACTGTCTAATCACAGGAGCAGGAGCTGCATCACATCAGCTCTACAATCACTCCTGTTGTCTGCAAGTTCTCACTGCTAGCAAAGTCAATCCAGTACCCAGTCATGTTAGTGTACAGCTATAATAGTTAGCCTCTGTCTCATCGCTGGCCGTGCTAGCTTTCTCTTCTCTCTCCTGGCCTCTGATGGCCCTCAAGTCAAACGTAACAACTAGTGAGGGGCCAGTCATCCTCTTGTCCCCAGACTCTGCCTTCTCTACAGAAGGTGTGTCAGCAGGATTGAGGAGATCCTTAGAGTATTCTTTCCACTGCTCAGCTATATCCTCAGTTGAAGTCAGTGGCAATCCTTCTACTTTTACTGTACACTGTGTGAGTATAGTATAGCTTTCCACTCCAGAATCGGGTGAATATTTACCAAAATCACTTTGTTTCATTGCCTCATTGAAGTCCTCCAGACCTGTGTTTTTGCTTCAGCTACCACCTGAGTCACATTGCACTTGGTCTGGCAGTATCTGTCCCACAAGTTAGCCTACACCGATAAGTCTGCTTCTTCAGCTTTATGGCTTCACCATTTGGTTCGGGGATTACCGCAACATAAGATAAGATAAGATAGAACTTTATTAATCCCTCGGGTGGGTTCCTCTGGGAAATTCGACTTCCAAAAAGCACAGCAACGACCGAAGTTACAGTTACAGAATTGTTATATATATATATATATATATATATATATGTGTGTATGTATATGTGTGTATACGTATATGTGTATGTATATGTGTGTATACGTATATGTGTATGTATATGTGTGTATACGTATATATGAACACCTTATGCTTATGCTTAAACATAGTATTTGTTATGGACAAGCTGTGATTAGCACACAAGTCCAATACCAGAACAGCACTCGGTTTCGGGTCAGGCAGGCTGCTCCTCCCTGTCACGCCTTTCCAGGTTTCACTTTTATTGCCCATGCGAGCATTAAATGATCTCATTAGGACAATGGAGTCATGAGGTGGGGCATCCTACAGCACCCCACCCAGCAACTCCAAGAAGGCTGGGTGCTCTGAACAGTTATTTGGTGAATAAGTGCAGATAAATGTCAGGAACCACCCCCTGAGCCAAAGGGCAGGTAAAAAAAACCCTCTTCTGAGATACAGGTTATGAGACAGGGAATAAAGGAATACCCATCCCTGTCTGCTGGCTCTCACTAAGGGTGGCTCCAGAGTGGAACAGAGTCTGGCCCATTTCCAGGACCCTAGTTGCAGAGCTCAAGCTGTGTGTTGAGGTGAGCCCGACTATCTTTAGTTGATATTTCTCAGCCTCACACACCAACTTAGGCTCATCCCCCAACAGAAAGATAGTGTTCCATGTCCCAACAGCCTCAGCAGCTGGGGATCTGACCACCAGGCCGAGACACACTTGGAGCAAACATTCAGTATCTGTGGTCACTGGAGTCCCTGTGACATTGCTAACATGCTGCAGGTTGAATGTTCTGTCTGTGGACACATTGATAGTTTACATACAGAAAAGTTTTTTTTAAAACTCAGCAAAAATGAACAGAACCACGTAATATAACAGTAATAAACAATTTAATAACGTGAATGAAATTTATGCTGTTAATAAGGAGCTCCTGGTTTTTCCTGAACTTGCAGGAAAAGAAAAATCTCAGCTTTAGCTTATGGGCCATATGGGGGCCTAGACTTATTGTCAGGGATCCTACTAACCTTTTTCAGTTTAATGCCTAGAAATACTTTTAGTAGCCTTGCTAATCCCAATAAAACAAGCTCTGTGGATATTGTTGGGGCACTGTTGTAATCACAGAAAGAGTTACGCATCATATATTAAAACAAGAAAACAATATCATTTATCACTTTTTCAGTGACAGGATACTATCCAAAGTGGAATGTTTTTTTCTGGAAGTTGAAATGATTTTTATTCCTTCAGTGGTTTCATGTGCTTCAAACTGTAATTGGCTTTTCATGTAGTAGTTATTTTAGAAAATTATATTAGTACTAGATGGCAGATTAGCCCACTCTCCTGCATTCAAATCAATAAAAACTAAAAACTCCCTGTGGCTATGTCAACAGTTTCAAAGCACACTTCAGATGTCCAAATATTAACTACAATTAAGGAGTGTTTCCACCAAACTTTCAGCCTGATCAATATTATAATCTACCATCACTTATACAGATATAAAACATAATTCTTTTAAAAGCCGAGTGCCATGATGCATTTTAACCAAGTGTGAGTTTACAATTGGGGCTTCTGACACTTGATTTATCTTTGCTTTAGAAGAGAGCTACATGCAAATGTGCTATCATACCAATGAAATCATCAAATATCAACCACGTTTATGATATAAACAAACTTTAACTTGAGCTACGATTCTGTGAACAGGTATCCTTCAACCCAGATGCTTGAAGGACTGATAAATATTGAAAAACAAAACAGACAAACACATCAGACATTTCACAGAATTATCTGGAAGAATAATTCTATGTGGGTAAAAAATAGAATTAATCATTAGGAAAATTGCCCAGCAGGAGAAAGCAATTATGAGCTCTGCGGGAATGAGTCTTAGTGTCGATCGTTAACGTGATCCATGACATTTTCCCGACAGTGACCAGACCGATCCCTGCTCCGTGTCAATAAAACGAGGCTAGGCAAATTATAAGCCTTCATCAATGAGTGACAGAACAGCACGTTCTTCACGGAGATTAGAAAAGATTCATCTCGCTTCAAATTTTAGAGCTAATTAGCATATTGATCGCTGATGAGAGACCCAGAGCACTGCAGTGTTGCTGTGAGATATTTGAGGAATTACTTTTGCACTCTGTGCTGGAATAAACATCATTGCTTTCTGCAAACATTTTTTAATTTGTATCACCAAACATCAGTTATAATTTCCAAAAAACACAAGGCTTTTATTGTTCCTTAATTCAGGCAAGAGTGATATCTTTGTTTTTCATATAAATGTAAAACTACATCCTGATATTTTTTTAGTACATAACCATTTTTTTCCTAATGTGCCCTCCATGTTTAACAATGCTTTGGATAAAGTTACTTCAATTAACTAGAGTAAATTTATTAAGGAAACTCGAAAAAACAGTCTGCAATGCTCCTAATTAAATCTTTTTTAATTCAGCTTTAAACTAATACTAATACGATTTTGTTAAAAAATATTTTTACCCACACAGAAAGCATGAGGTTACTGTTTGAGATTTAGAATGAATTTGAACACTTGTGAAATATCAAGGTTTGCGCAGTGAGGTAAAGCTTAGGTTTAAAGTTTGGGTAGTAAGCTGATGAACTATCTAACCCTAGTTTAGATGCAGATGATGTGCAAACTCTGACTAAACTCGTCACTTCAGTGTAATTAGTGTAATGGTTCCCTCTCAATACAAAGAAAAGGTTACTGGAGATCTGTCATCACAGATATGTTGCCAAGCAACCAGGAAAGACCTCAGAAAGTCACAACACCAAGTCAAGAAAAACTTTAGCTTCATGTCTAAAATCAGTTCTTATTCCCTAGATGGTGGACTCTGTTTGCTGTCCACCGCTATATCGGTATTCTGACAGTAAATATCGATCCATTTCTTTGCTACTGTGTGGAAAGATTTCTGGTAGCAATCCCACAATGCAATCGTTCGCATTTTATTGATTACATGAGTTGCATTCATCCAAACTGGAGCAAGAATTCTTTAATATTGTGTCAGCATCATTATTTACATGTATTAGATAATTACACCAAACACAGTTAATAGGTACAGTGACCGAAATGAGCTAATATGAGGCCTAGGAGACTGTCAGCAGGCACTTGTGAAATAATGCATGAATTCAAGCTTTAGTACAATTCAGGCAGACACTCTCTAAGGAAATAACCTCCTTGTGGCGGGGCATGGTCTGTGGCGTGGCTGCAGCGAGGCGGACACACCTGAGTGGCATCAGCGATCACGTCGCACCAGCATTAAAGCCAGTGCTGGGTCCTGACTGATTGTTGTTGTTGGTGTGTGTTCGGCTGCGAGCTGAAAAGCTGCAGTCGACCGTGTAAAG